AAACTTTGGAAGAGAAATTTACTGACGCAACAAAAAACGGTTTATATGTAATGATACAACGACAAAATCTGAAAATAATCAACGTTTATTTTTTTTGATTAAAAAGGAAAAAAAAAGGTGAAAAAAGCAAGAAAAATTTTTCTTTTCGTCTGTAGCCAAGTAAAAAGAATAAAGACCAAAAATAAAGTCAACTTGCTTACAACTTAAAAATTCCAAAATAAGCGTGGTAAACTGTCGTTGTGTATCTCTGCGTCAACCAGCAGAGTGGAACTTTACAGTGGTGGCGCTGTTGTTGCTACATAAACTTAACTATACAGAACACAGTCTTTTAAAATTTCTGTTGTCCCTACAAAGTTGAAAATAAAAAAATCATACCTTATCAAACCTTTTTTTAATTTTAAACAATTTCAGTGAATGTTAAACTGATTGATACACGATGAACAAACGGGAACGGGGATAACGGGAGGGATGAGAATGGATGAGGGTAAATTTATTGGTTGCGAATAGGAACCCAGAATTACTTGCTTCCTTGCTAACTCGCTTGCCACTTTTTCCAAAAAATAGATTTGCATTATTTAGTAAAACGTATATGTAAACATTTGTTTTTGTAATGTAAACAATTTCGAAAAAAAACTTTTTTTTTAGACTTTTGTAAATTCAGTGAGTAAAAGTTTTTTTTTTGCCTAGCTTGAGAAAAAAACGTCCCAAACAATTCTGTTGAAATTGCTGTTTTTTTTCTGTATCAATAACACTAATCCCTACAGACTAAGATCAAAAAACTCTTGACTTTTTTTGTAAAAATGCGTAATCTTTTACGGCAGTAATATAATCAAGGTAAAATTTATACTATTAACTGTAAATATGAAGTTTATAGAAATAAATTCACTAAAACTTGAGAAATCAAAATTAAAAAATTCCTAAATAAGTAAAAGAAAAAACTAACACAGTCGGTCTACTTTTATACATTTATACAGACATACACTCATACATAAATAAATACGAAAAAAGTCAGAGACACGCAGACACGCACAGACAAGCAGGCAGGCCAAAAGACAAGACAGGCAGATAAATGTGTCTGAACCGATGTCTCCAGAAACTGATAAAAGGTGAAGAGTGATTGAAAAAAAGCCAAAAGACGGAAAAAAAAGTGTAATAAATATCAACAATATAAGGTTGCACAAAATAATAATAACTTATTAATTCACTAAACAAAAAAAAAAAAA